GTGCAGCGCCTGGCCTGGGGGCGCCGCGTGCGGTAGGAAAGTGCGCTCGTCGCGGGGAGGCTGTGAGCCTGGCGGCTGGAGAGCCCGGGATTGTGGCCCAACGGCCTCCAAAACTCCGGGCCGTGTCGCGGGAGCGGAGAAGGCTGTGCTTGGCACGTGGGTGATGGGACCCGTTCCCTGGGCTGTGCCCATGGCCGCCGGCCCCGCGGGGACCTGGAGCTGCAGCTGGGGAAGCAGCCGCAGGGATCTGGGCAACCCCTGGGCCCTCATCGGCCTGCATTTAGGGCTGAGTGTGGGGTGACTTTTGTTTAACGTCCACCGGGGCTGCACCGCGTTCCCGCCGCGGCCTGGGCCCAGCAGTCAGCGCCTGGCAAGAACCAGCCTTAGTACTGGTGTAGGGCTGAAGGCATCCCAGTAAAATGAGGGCATGGAGGGCTCCCCCACCCCCCACGAGGAAGGATTATAGACAATGAGGTTGGGCCTGAAAAGGATCTAGAGCAGTGGTCCCCAACCTCTTTTGGCCACGCCCCACCTAAGCATCTCTAAGTCCTGATGCCCCCCCTCCCTGTGACATGGAATTCCTATTATTCAGAAAATGACTCCTATGCACGTGGTCGGAGCCTGAAAGGCCATTAACTTGATCTAAACAAGCTTCCATAGAACATGGCATCCATGAGAGAGAAAAATAAAAGAACGAAAGGACAGTTGACATACTGAGGAAGAAATCACTAAGAATTTGTTTAAGAAAATAATATAGAGTGATATGAAAAAATAGCAAATAAAATTTCAAAACATAATAGAGCAGTGGCCGCCAACCTTTCGGACCTCATGGACCACCAGTGGTCTGCGGACCACCTGTTGGCGACCGCTGTAACAGAGAAATGAAATGCCGGGGTGCCAAGGGCTGCCCCCTTCCATTGGTTCAACCCTGCAGGACCACCCCAGCTCCCAGCTCCCTGCGGAACTGGCCAAGGTTCCCAGTTCACCTCCTGCCCCTCCGGCTTCTCTTCCTCCCTCCCGGGTTGGTCCCTCATCGCTGCCCAGTGAGCGGTGAGCAGGCGCATCTCAGGGACTCCTTTCCGGTTTCCCGGGGAACCCAACCGGAAACGGGAGGCTACGGTTCCAGGGGCTGGTGGCCTAACCACTGTGGTGCTCTGGCGGTGCCGGTGACTGCACCAGTGCGCACCCCGCCTTCCCTGGGGCCCGCACCAGGCCCGCTAAACCACTATTTGCTAATGAAACGCAGCAGTGACCACTGCGGCCCCGGGTGTGCAGGGCAGGTGTGAGCGACCGGGGAGGGAGGCTGTTTGGCCTTGGCACCACGTCTTTACGGGGGTTCTCCCCCACGCAGCCCCCCACGGCCCTGGGGACCGGATGTGAGGTGCTCCGTCCGGCTCGGCTGCACCCCTCCATCGGACGGAGCGTCACCAGCGCTGGGCTCCGTCCCCTCATCCTTCTCGCCATCACCTTGTCCGGGCCTGGGTCCCCCCCGCCGGCTGCGCGGTAACCACGCTCCTCCGCTGGGCTCCTGTTCTCCGTCCTCTTCCTATTGTATTGAATGTGTTGGGGTGACCCTGGTTAGTACAATATATAGGTTCCAGGCGCGCAGTTCCAGAACACGCCGTCTGTGTGTGTGCCGTGTGCCCACCACCCCAGAGGCGCCTGTTTCTCGTCTCAAGGAATTCCCGCAGGCGGCTCGGGCCCCTCTAGAGCCTGGGAAAGTCTCCTCAAAGCTCAGGGCCAGATGGCTTTACAGGGAAGTTTTACCAAACATGCAAAGAAGAACTAGAACTTATCTTTCTCAGACTATTCCAAAAAATTCAAGAGGAAGGAATACTTTCCAAGCTCATTCTTGAAGCCAGCATCACCCTAATACCAAAACCAGATAGAGACAACACAATGAAGCAAGGCGAGAGCGCGCAGGCGGCACGCGCCCCGGGAGGCAACAGACGCCGTGTGTGCGCGTCCTCACGTGTGTGTAGGCCGTGTGTGTGTGTGTGTGTGTGTGTATGTGTAGGCGTCCTCACTGCGCCCCAATCCCGGTCTCCCCTCTGAACCCCTGCGGCGGGCGGGGGGTGCGTCTCCATCCTGGTCGAGGCATGTGCGACTTGTTCTAGCGAAAGAGCTTCCAGACGTGAGCCCGGCGGGCGGCGTCTGTGGGAGGCTTTGGGGGGAGTTGGAGGAGGGCCCGCCCTC